GCTCTGAAGGATGCCCTGTTTCCGCTGGTGGGGCACTGGGACAGAGCCAGGGTGGCCAGCCTATGGCCTCTGCATCTCAGGCTGCTTTCCCCAGCACAGTCCATGGTCACTCTGGAGAACTACAAGTATGAGGGGCCTGGGTGGGCCCAAGACCCCCCAGAAGAACTGTCCTGCAGGCTGGTGGGTGGGTCCAAGGCCCCTGGGAGAACTGTCTGCAGGCTGGTGGGTGGTAGCTGGGTGTCCTCTGGAGGAGCAGAGGCAGGAGCGGAATCATCTGTTCCTTGATTGGGAGGACTCTCCTGGGCTGCAGGTTTACTTTGGGTGAAAATTCTAAGTTACGGATTCAGTGACATTAATGGTTATAGGTCCATTCAGGTTTCCCATTCCTTCTTAATTTGGAAAAGTTAGTTTTTACCAGAAATGTCTCCATTTCAACCAGAATTTCTTCAGATTTCTTGGCACGAGTCAAATGTCCCCAGTTTCCCGCCTTTCACGTCTCTGCCGTGCCTGCAGCAGGGGCTCCTCTTCATCCCAGGGCTGTCCCCGTATGCCCCACTTGGGCTTCCTCCGTCCGTCCTGCCGGAGCTGGTCCGTTGAATCAGACGCTTCTGAGAACCCACTCTCAGCGCCAGCACCCTTCTTTTCGGAATTGGTTTGTCTCCTTTTCCAGCTGTTTTCTTTCCTTCTTGCGTTAGGACAACTGTGTTCTCTTGCTACCTTCTTACGTTGAATATTGATTTTTAGCCTCTCCTGATCTGTCCATTTAGGGGTGTGCATGGCTCCGGCACGGCGTGCAGCTGCACCTCACATCGTCATAGGAAGCGGCTTTCATTATTTTTTAGTCGTAAGCATTTCCTAATTTATCTTACGATTTCTTCTTTTGCCCACGAGTTGGCGTGTTTTCTGATTTCCAAACGTAAGGACACATGGCTCTCTTTTTGTTATCAATTTCTAACGAATTGCAGTGTGGTAAGAAGAGGAAGTCTGACTGGCATTTTTCTGTGTGGAGATGTGCTGTACGGGCCAGTGCGTGGTCAGCCTGCAGAGACATTCCACATGTGTTTGAGATAATGTGTCTTCTCCGTCTGTTTCCCAAAGTTCTGTTTGTGTTCATTAAGCAGAACTTGCGAATTGTATTGCTCACATTTTGGTTTTCCTGACTGGTTTTTGGCTGGTTGTCTGCGAAGTCTCTCACCGTGGTGGGACGTGTCTTCTTGTTTCCTTTCCGTTGCCCCAGTTTTTACTTAGACATTTTAAAGCTGCTTTACCAAGCACAGACATTTGACGTTGTGATTGGTTGGTTTTCCCATGGCACAGTGAACTCTGCATATCCAGTGATGCTCTTTCCGTGACATCTCTTGTGCCAGACACTGGAGATGTGACCCCAGCTGGCTTTTCCTGTGTGACTTTCAGCCTCCCCTGACGTTTCGGATGTGTCTCCTAGAAACAGCAAAAGCCTGCACGTAGATTGTTTTTGTGTCCAGTCCAGTGGTCCCTGCTTTAAGTGGAAATGTGGGTCGCCTGCTGTGAGTTTGCTGCCTTTTTCAGATGCATCTTACCTGCTTCTGTTTGTCCCTGTTTTCGGAAGCTCTTTGCCTTCTCTTTTCTCCCTTCTTCAGCATAATTGAGGGTTTCATTCCATTTGTTCCCTCTACTGAGTCCAAAGATGTAGAACCTGTTTTCTTGTTTTTCATTCATTATCTTTAACAATCGGAGCACGCGTTCTCAACACAGTCCACACCCTCATTTGCACCTCCATGCAAACCAGAGCCCAGACTGGGCGAGCCCCATTAGGTGCCAGCGAAAACACAGAGCACCCGGCTGGGTCTCCTTCCACTGCCAAACCACGTGTTTATCAGACATTGAAATTTAACCAGGGCCGTGAATGGTTCTGTTTCTGTTTTACTAAATTCAGCAGCCCTCGCCCCAGTGCCCATCCTAGATTATGCCACTGACCGGTACTTCATTTCCTTCTTTCTTGTGTTGGATTGCACTGATGAGACACCATGATGATTCTCGATGTCATCCCTGCTCATTCAGGCTCTCCTGCACGCATGCTGCCTTCTTGGCTCATCCATTCTTCTCATTCCTGACACTGTCTTCTAGGATTATTTTCACGCTGCCTTAAGTATAACACACCGATTGCAGTGTCCCTCGGGAAAAGACTTGTGTGGTCAACCCAGCTGTGTTTGTTACGGGGAAGGTCTTTATTTCACCCTTGTTCTTGGATGATAGTTTCGCTGGATAAACAATTCTGGGTTGACAATTTGCTCTCAACGCACTGAATATTTTAAGCCCCTGTCTGCCTGCTTCTACTGCTGTTAAGAAGTTGGCGTGTGGGCAATGGCTACCCCTTGGAAGATTGTTTTCTCTAGCAGCTTTTAGAATTTTCTTTTTGTTTTTGATATCCTGCAGTTTTACTCTGATAATGCCTAAGTGTGCCTTCCTGGGTTGTTTTTTTTTTTCTCCTGCTAGGATCTCAAATCTTCCAGGTCAGGTTCGTAAATCTCTGGCTGTTTCATCATACAGAAATGTCATGTATGTTTAATACTACTTGGCATATGTACTTTTTAGGATTTCTAACTGGTAATTTCAACAACTGCAGTCTTTAAGGATCTAATGTACATTCTTAGTAAACTTTTAATTTTGGGGTAGTTTTAAGATTTACAGAGACATTACAGAGATCACATACAAGCTCCTCATTCCCCTCAGAAAATGTCTTCTACTGTGAACGCCTTACTTCGGCAGGAGTCATTTGACACAACTTAGAAACCAACACTGACTAGTAATTTACTCCAGCGTGAATTGGGATGTCACCAGCTTTGCCACAACTGCCCTTCCTCTGTTTTAGAGTCCCACCAGGATCACACATCACAGTTAGTCATTTTGTGTCTTTTGTCTCCGTCTTGTGTCTTTTTCCAAGGAGCCTTGGCCGCGTATTTTGCAGACCGTCCCTCAGTTTGTGTTTGTCCGAGTGTTTTCTCTTAGATCTGTGTTTTGGGGAGGAAGATGACAGAATCGAAGTTCCAGTCGCCTGTCAGGGTGTGTGCTGCCGGTACAGCTCACCAAGCTTCATCATCTGCTGAGCGCGCTGTCTGTCGGGTCCTTTCACCAGCAGGTTACGCTCTTACCGCCTTTCCAGATGTATTCTTTGGAAGGAAGTCACATTCAGTGCAGCGCACACTCAGGGGGACAGAGTTGGGGAGGCATTAAGCCTCACCTCCAGGACAGGGGAGTAGGTGCGTGCGTTATTTGAAATTCCCAAGGATCTGCCTCTGCTCCCTGTGTATTTATTTGGTCATTTATTCATATCCCTGTGAACTCCTGGATATCCATCTTATACTTCGGGTCATGTTTCAATACCGTACTTATTTTGTTGCTCAGCTGGTTCCTGCTCTGGCCCCAGGGCACTTTTCAGAACGGCCCTGCCAGTCCTTTGAAGGCCCATCCCTCAACCTTCAGGCATATCCCGACTTCCCAGCTCCCCGAGGTGCTCCAGACTCTCCTTGTGTTTTCCCCGCCCCAGCCGTGGACCCAGCGTTCTCCGAGGAGCCCCACCTGCCTTCATTGGAGAATGGGATTGGGAACCTCACTCATCTCTCCTGATGCAGGCTCATGCCGGCTGCTTCCGTGTTGTTTGGGGGTTTTGTTACTGGGAGCTCATGCTTCCTGGAAGTTAACCAGCTGCACTGATCTGAAACCTGGTGTGGGGACGCGTGCCTCAGGCGAGGTCCTGCAGTGGCTTCTGCCGGTGCCCGGCCTGGCGGAGCTGCCACGTCATTATAGCTGTCCACTCACAGTGTCTAGAACCAGGCAGGTTCTCAGCGCCCGTTTGTCTTTTCACCTCTACCCGGAAGCCAGAATTAAAACCAAACGCTCCTTTTGATGACCTCTGTGGGACAAGCTGCTGATGTGCGCCTGTCCTGGCTCACCCATCCTTTCCTGACTGGTCTTCCCAGCCCTTGCCTGCACAGCCCAAGGCTGGCCCCAGGACACCTGGGAACACGGTGCTCTGGCCTCCCTAGTCAGGTCCAGCTTTGTTCTACACCCAGCAGATTTTTCCTGTTGTATTTCTATATTTTTATAACCTATTTCAGTCAACCAATTTTTTTTTTTTTTTGAGACATGGTCTCTCTGTGTTACCCAGGCTATGATGCTGTGGCACAGTCTCGGCTCACTGCAGCCTCCCCCAACCAGGTTCAAGCGATTCTCATGCCTCAGCCTCCCAAGTAGCTGGGACTACAGGCACACACCACCACACCCAGCTGAGTTTTCTATTTTTAGTAAAGGGGTTTCACCATGTTGCCCAGGCTGGTCTCGAATTCCTGACCTCAAGTGATCTGCCTGCCTCAGCCTCCCAGAGTACTAGGATTACAGGTGTGAGCCACCGCACCTGGCCGATCAACCATTTTTAATTGTGTTGTAAATGCTCTGCTTTGCCCTGTAGTTTACCTGTAAACTTATTCCCGTTTTTATCTGCTGCCAGTGCTTAGGGAAAAACTCGGTGTGACGGATTCCCTCTGTGAGAGATCCGACTTCTTCCATTTACATCTCCCCTGACCCCACCTTCTACTGTCCTGGGAGAAAACCAAGATCAGGGGATATTCAAACATTCTTACTTACTAAGAAAAGACAAGGGAAAGGAAAGTGGTGAAATAAGCCTCACTCCCCCGATGTAACCCTGTGGCGTCAATGGCAGATTCCAAGCTGGTGTGCTGGTCAGGCCACTCTGGGACTGTCTTTCCTCCTGCTACTTATAGGAACCCACAAATACACCTTACAGTGTCCTAAAAAAAGACACAAAGAAAATAAATCCTCTTTTATTAAAAATTTTAAACACCAAAGCACATTTGGCTTTTTAAAGTTATTTTTTCTGCTCCGTGGGCACATGCACCCCACAATGGACTCTGCCCAGGAAACAGCTGCTGTCTCGGAGCCCCCATCTAACGCACGTGTGGACTGTGTCGGCAGTCTTGATATTCCTGTGTATTTTCTTCCAGCTTGATCCCCTCCCAGAAAAGGTTTTACAGCAAAGACCCAATGCCAACGCTGTCCGCTCCATGGAGAAGGTCATGGAAATCCACAGTAAGTTGTCTGGATGCTCACAGGGGACATACCCCAGTGGTGGGGGACTCCACAGTGCCCCATCCCTGTCTCACTATGCCCCCAGCTCCCTCCATCCCATACCGGCTGCTTCCCCAGGCCTGCAGCAGGAGGCCTGGCTTTCAGCTGCATTTTATGAGCTGGTGGAGACTCACATTTAACCCCAACTGGATTTCCCACAGCCTGCTGGAGTGGTTCCATCATCTCATTTTGTAGGTCTGGAGAATCAAGGCCTAGACAGTCTCAGTGTGGAGTCACTTGCTCCAGGTCCCCAGCTAGCAGCAGGGACCATGGCTGTGAGCCTGTGCCCTGGGGACTCCAGCCTCTTCCCTGGACCACAGAAGCCCACACCCTGAGCTGAAAGAACCCTTGGCCCCACAGAGAAAAAGGGTGTAGGCCCTCCGCATTCTGGCTCTGCCCCTCAAGCAGGGCGTGGCATGCAGCCTGTCTCAGAGGCACCTCCCACGCCCTGTCGTCACAAGCCCAGCTTGCCTTTGAGATGACCCAGAAGGTTGAGACTGTCCACAGAAGCAGGTGCAGTCCAGAGCTCGGCTCCCCATTTCCCTGTGTAGGGGAGTCCTGGCCTCAGAGCCCTGAAGCTGACCTTGGGCCAGCCCAGCCCTCCACATACACCCCCTTGCACCTGGTGCAGTACCTGTCCACCCAGCCTCCGTGAGGGCCCAAGCAGAAGACCCCTCAGCCCCAGTGACAATCCCCCAGCTCACCTGCTCCCAGAGATGGGAAGGCTCAGCCCAGCAGGTTGGAAGCCCCTACTCCTGGCCACCCAGGGCAGAAAGGGGCCCGTGAGCATGGAAAGTCAGGCCCACCAGACCCTCTGTCTGCAGTCCTAGGCCGGCTTGCTCCTAGAGGGTCTCCAGCCACTCACGATGGGGAAATATTTCCAGAGATTCTTGGTCTTTGTGAGTTTGCAGCCGTGTCTCTTCGAAGAGGGCTGCTTTTAAAATCACAAGGGATCGATATCGTTTGAGGCTCAGAGTCCTGCAGGACCTTCCCGGGCCACGGAGCCTCCTGCTGAGTTGCGGTCACTGAACGCCTTTCCTTGCCCCCCACCCCCCAGGCAAGTACTGGCGCTGCCTGCAACGTGCGGTCTCTACGGCGGGGCGCTCTCTGATTGAGGCTCAGACCTGCGAGAACGACGAAGCCGAGACGGTCACCGCCATGGCCTCGCTGTCTGTGGGCGTGAAGCCCGCCGAAAAGAGGTGAGCGCCTGCCCAGCTGTCCACCTGCCCCACTGCCCACATGCCCCACCGCCTGCCTGCAGGCTCACCCAGCCCCACTGTGCCCAGTGCCATACTCTGCAGGGTCGGAACCTTTATGGCACGTGCCCTACCAAGCTTGCAGGGCAGGCCCTGGGAGAGGGATGCCCATCAGATTAGAAACAGGCCAGGTGGCCCCCTCCGTCCAGTGCCAAAGCCCCTTAGAGACGCACAAGGAGCAATCGATCCTGAACAGATGCCGCCCGGGCTAGGCCAGCAGGGGGGGCAGCACGCGGCCTTTAACCCACGTTCTGTTCTCTCTCTGCTGTGGGGCGCCTGCCCCACGCCCCTGTCTCTTTCTCTTGCGGGATCCACAGACCAGACGAGGAGCCCATGGAAGAGGAGCCGCCCCTGTAGCGCCCCCTCGAAGCTGCTGTTCTCTTGTCTGTCTGTCTCTGTCCTGAAGCTCAGCCAAGAAACTTTCCCGTGTCACGCCTGCGTCCCACCGCGGGGCTCTCAGAGCACCCAGGGACACCCGGTGTGCGACAGCCACGGGAAGCCTTTCTGCCGCCCAGGCCCGCAGGTTCGAGACGCACATGCACACCTGGGCGTGGCGGCCTCACAGGGAGCACGGGACAGACGCTGCTGACGCGCAGACACACGGACACGCGCAAGCCAAGCACACTCTGGCGGGTCCCACGAGGGACGCCGCAGAAGAAAGCAGCCTGCGGCGACAAGCGGCCGAGCCGCCGAATTCAGTTGACGCGAGGCACAGAAAATGAATATCAAAGATCTAATAATACACAACAAACTTGATTAAAACTGGTGCTTAAAGTTTGATTATTACACACAACTCCACAGTCTCTGTGTAAACCACTCGACTCATCTTGTAGCTTATTTTTTTTTAAAGAGAACGTTTTCTACGGCTGTGGCCTGCCTCTGTGAACCATAGCAGTGTGCAGTGGTGGGGTCTGCACCCAGGTGGGGGACAGAGTGACCTTTAAAGAAGACAAAACTGGACAGAAACAGGAGTGTGAGCCTGGAGAAGCTGGCTTGAGATTCTCAAAGCCATCGGAAGATGCAAGTTTGTGCCTTTTTTTTATTGCTCTGGTGGATTTTTGTGGCTGGGCTTTCTGAAGTCTGAGGAACAATGCCTTAAGAAAAAATAAACAGCAGGAATTGGTGGGACAGTTTCCTGTGGCCAGCTGAGGCTGGCCGTGCCGGCCCCGCGAGCTGGCCTGAGCCCTGAGCTCGGGCACCAGCCGTCATCTCCGGGGCCAGGGGCTGCAGCCCCCGGTCCTCATTTTGCTTTATTGCTGTTTAAGGAAAATGGAAGTAGTTCCAAAAAAGTGGCAAATCCCGTTGGAGGTTTTGAAGTCCAACAAATTTTAAACGAATCCAAAGTGTTCTGTTCTCACACGTCACATAGCGATTGAGCATCTCCATCTGGTCGTGAAGCATGCGGTAGGCACACTTGCAGTGCTACGGTTGGAATGCTTTTTATTAAAAGCAAGTAGCATGAAGTATTGCTTAAATTTTAGGTATAAATAAATATATATGTGTATAATATATATTCCAATGTATTCCAAGCTAAGAAACTTGATTCTTACGAAATCTTGATAAAATATTTATAATGCATTTATAGAAAAAGTATATATATATATATGTATATATATATATATATATATATATATATATATATATATATATATATAATGAATGAAGATTGCGAAGGTCCCTGTAAATGAATGACTTGTGAATTTGCTCTAAAGGTGCTTATAGAAAGGGATCCTGATTGAAATTCATGTATTTTCGAGCTCCAGATTGGCTAGATTTCAGATCGCCAACACGTTCGCCACTGGGCAACTACCCTACAACTTTGTACTTTAATTTTAATTATTTTGTAACAGAACCCCTTCTGTCTCCAAGCCTTCATGCACATATGTACCTAATGAGTTTTTATAGCAAAGAGTATAAATTTGCTGTTGATTTTTGTATGAATTTTTCACAAAAAAGATCCTGAATAAGCATTGTTTTATGAATTTTACATTTTTCCTCACCATTTAGCAATTTTCTGAATGGTAATAATGTCTAAATCTTTTTCCTTTCTGAATTATTGCTTGTACATTTTTTTTAACTTTCAAAGGTTTTTTTAATTATTTTTGTTTTCTTGTTTATTTTTGTACAGTGAGTTTTCTGCAGCGTACGGAATTGTTGCCATCAGAGTTTATTTTCAGAAAGTGAGAGGAGGGACCGTAGGTCTTTTCGGAGTGACACCAACGATTGTGTCTTTCCTAGTCTGTCCTAGGAGCTGTGTAAAGAAGCCCAGGGCTCTTTTTACCTTCAACACTAGTAGTATTACGAGGGTGGTGTATTTTCCCCTCCATGGCAAGGACAGGGAGCATCGCTTGGGATGCCCGGCCACTCGGGAGGCTTGCCAGACGCCATAAGCAGTCAGCATTAATGAAACTCATGTTTAAACTTCTCTGACCACATTGTCAGGATAGAATTCTAACTTCAGTTTTCCAAAGACCTTTTACGCATGTCAGCAATTCATGGGGCACACGTGGGGCTCTTTACCCATTTGAGTTTTCCACTGCAGCCACGTGGCCGGCCGTGGATTTTGGAGCCTGTAGCTGCAAGGAACCCAGGACCCTTGTTGCCTGGTGAACCTGCAAGGAGGGCACGATTTCCTGACCAAGACAGCCAGTCTTGACTCTCTTTCTTTTCAACTGTAACACAGTCACGTCTTACTGGTGACTTATTTTCTAGCACCTGAAGCCACCAGTTTCATTCCAAAGGGTATCAGATTCAGACCTGTGGGCAGACATTCAGATACACTGTGCTCAGGAGGGTCCCAGAGCCAAGTTTCGAAGTTTGGTAAAGTTTACAGGGTAGCTTCTGAAATTAACTCAGACTTTTGACCAAATGAGTGCAGATTCCTGGATTCACTTGGTCACGGGGCTGCTGCTGGTCAGCTCTAAGACGGTGGTTTGAGAGCAGGGCAGAAAGGTCTTGGGACTTGTTTGACTTTCCCCTCCCTAGTGGCCACTCTGCTCTGAAGCCCAGATTGGCAAGAGGAGCTGGTCCATTCCCCGTTCATGGCACAGAACAGTGGCAGGGCCCAGCTAGCTGGCTCTTCTGGCCTCCTTGGCCTCATTCTCTGCACAGCCCTCTGGGGATCCTGCCACCTGCCCTCTTACCCCGCCATGGCTCATGGGGAGGAATGCATCATCTCACTTTTTTTTTAAGCAGATGATGGGGTAACATGGACTGCTCGGTGGCCAGGTTATCATTGGGGGGCTTAGTTCTAATCTCATTCAAATGGAGACATCCTCTGTGCAAAGGCCTGGCAAGGGGAGGCACATTTCAGCTGTCAGCTCACTCCAGCTTCACAAATGTGCTGAGAGCATTACTGTGTAGCCTTTTCTTTGAAGACACACTCGGCCCTTCTCCCTGGCAAGTGTCCAGGGCAGATGGCGGAGGATCTGCCTCGGCGTCTGCGGGCAGGACCACATCAGGGAGGGTCCCTTCAAGGGCTCTCTCTGTGGGTCCTTGGACCTTTAGCTTTTTTCTTCCTTTGCAGAGGCCTTGGGGGCACTGGCTGGGAGTCAGCAAGAGAGCACTTTATATCCCTTTGAGGGAAACCCCGATGACGCTACTGGGCCTTTTGGCGTCTGCCCTGCCCTCACGGCTTCCCGCCACGCCACAGCGTGCCCACGCCCCACCAGCAGACGGCTGTCCCCGAGGCCGTTGCCCGCTGGGACTGGCCGCCCCTCCCCAGCATCCCAGGGCTCCGGTTCTGGAGGGCCATTTTGTCAAGGTGTTTCAGTTTTTCTTTACTTCTTTTGAAAATGTTTGCAAGGGGAAGGACCATTTTGTAATGGTCTGAACAAAAGCAAGTTTGATTTCTGCAGCACTAGCAATGAACTTTGTTGTTTTTATTTTTGATCAGAACATTCCTTCTTTACTGGTCACAGCCATGTACTCATTCCATTCTTCTTTTTGTAGACTTTGGGCCCACGTGTTTTATGGGCATTGATACATATATAAATATATAGATATAAATATATATGAATATATTTTTTTAAGTTTCCTACACCTGGAGGTTGCATGGACTGTACGACCGGCATGTCTTTATATTGTATACAGATTTTGCACGCCAAACTCGGCAGCTTTGGGGGAGAAGAAAAATGCCTTTTTGTTCCCCTCTCATGACATTTGCAGATACAAAAGATGGAAATTTTTCTGTAAAACAAAACCTTGAAGGAGAGGAGGGGGGGAAGTTTGCGTCTTATTGAACTTATTCTTAAGAAATTGTACTTTTTATTGTAAGAAAAATAAAAAGGACTACTTAAACATTTGTCATATTAAGAAAAAAAGTTTATCTAGCACTTGTGACATACCAGTAATAGAGTTTATTGTATTTATGTGGAAACAGTGTTTTAGGGAAACTACGCAGAATTCAGAGTGAACTGCCTGTCTCTCTCGAGTTGATTTGGAGGGATTTTGTTTTGTTTGGTTCTGTTTGTTTCCTTTTATCTCCTTCCACGGGCCAGGCGAGCGCCGCCCGCCCTCACTGGCTTTGTGATGGTTTATTCTGATTGAGAACCGGGCAGACTCAAAAGAGTCCCCTTTTCCGCACAGCTGTGTTGACTTTTTAATTACTTTTAGATGATGTATGGCTAAGATGTCACTTCAAGCAGTCGTGAACTGTGCGAGCACTGTGGTTTAAAATTATACTTTGCATCGAAAGGAAACCATTTCTTCATTGTAACGAGGCTGAGCTTGTTCTTAGCTCGGCCTTACTTTGTCTCTGGCATTGATTAAAATCTCCTATTGAAAGAAAAAGAAAGCGAACAGTTTTTGTTTGTTTGGGTTTTTTTTTTTTGTTTTTTTTGTGTTTTTTTTTTTTGCTGTGTGTGCTCCATAGTGGGGGCGCTATTTTCCAGTTGATGAGAATGACAAACATACATAATCTATCTATCTGTAACGGGGGCTTGAACCTTACTCACCCAAGAGCTTCTTACGGAATGTGGTAGAAAACAAAGTTGTAACGACACTGTATCCCACTTGATGCCTGTTCGCGCCTGGCGTGGGCTCCGCACTGGCCGTGACCACCATTCTCTGTGATTTAATCCATTTCTCTTGGATTGTCTGGATGTGCCCAATGGTTCTTTCTTTTGCTCAGTGGAGTTGGAGGTTTTGTGTTTGGTTTTCTCATTCTTGTTTTGTGTGGATGGATTTTCACTGACCAATGATATCCTCTTCTGACGGTCAACTTCTTTCCACTTCACTGGAGTCCAGTATTCTGTACCACATCACACGACCTGTTACTCTTGTGGTGTAAATAAAGACTGCGTTACTTGCCCTCCCAGCTCTGGTTTCTGCCGGTGCACTCTCTTCCTCATTGGCTCTCGCGTGCCTGGGACCCTGTGGGCTGAACGGCCAGTGCCCTGGGTCCCATCTGGGTGGGTGCCTGGAAATCACTGGGCCCCATGGGGACGGCCCCTAGACCCAGACCAGTGGCAGACCTGTCCTCCTCTGCCTGTATAATTAGGTCCCCTGGGAGTGTCTTCATTTTAAAGGTCCAGTAATTTAAATCTTTACATTATCTTCTCCCCCAAAACGCTTACCAAGCCGTGGTGATCTGGAAACAGCCTTTGAGAGAACAAGGCCAAAGGGAGAGGCCCAGGCTCAGCCACCTGCCCACAGCCGGGCAGACACACCTCTGAGACTGGAGTCCAAGCACCAGCCACAGCTCCTGACCCCCAGCAGTGTCCCTTCCTGGGCTCCCACATCCAGTGACTAATCAATTGGGTGTGGGGAAATGTAAGCACCAGGCCACCTTGGCCCAGCTTAGGACAACTCAGTGCCTGCTAGCTTCCCAGAAGGTGCCTGAGGCCCCACGGTGGGGCCTGGTCCGAGTTCAGCCCTCCTTTGCCTGATTGCTTTCCCTCCTCCCATCACAGCTGCCAAACCAAGGGCAGCTTCACCACCGCACACGCTGAAGCCCACCTAGTCTGCTTCCCAGCAGCCCACAGCTCCCAGGTTGCCCCTGAGCCCCCAAAAGAGATCTCTGGAGCAGAAGGCCCTACTGGCCCCCAGGCACTGCCTCATGGTGAGGGGTAAAGGGGTGCTCAGTTGGCCCCAGTATAAGAAGAGATACTTGGAGCCTGCAGCCACTGAGGCTGCGGTGGTTCTGGACAGATGCAATTGGCATGTCTAACTGGTTATGTTAGTTACCTGCGGCTTGCAACAGATTACCTCAAAACTTAACAGCTTCAAACAGCAGACCTTAGTGACCTTGGAGTTTCTGAAGGTCCGGAGTATGGGTGCACTTCGGCAGGGTCCCTGTCTCGTGGTCTTCCCGGGGGGCGGTCCAGTCAAACTTGCAGCCAGGGTTCCTCTGGGGGCTCCGCTGCTGGGGGGCCAGGCTGGGGGGGGTGCCCTCCAGGCACATGACTGTGGCTGTGGGTGGCCACTTCCCTCACCCAGTAGGCCTCTCCAAAGGGCTGCCTCGAGGCCCGGCCATCAGGATCCCCATGGCCAGTGGTCCAGAAGCCAGCTGAGGACGCACCAGAGACAGAGCTGGTCTGTTTACGGCCTCATCTTGGAGGTCACATCCCATCACTTCCACCATGTCCATGGGCATAGAAGCCCGTCCAGGCGGCCAGCCCACACTCACGGGAGCAGCTTCCTGAGGGCACTGTGCCAGGGGTGCCGCCCAGCCAGTGGAGCAGCCATCTTCTTCCTGACTGATCTAATTTAACTCAGCAAATTGTCAGCTTTGCCCTCAGAATGTGCCCGTCTCCCCTGCCCTGTTCCCAGGCCTCCCTCCACGCCCGTCAGTCCCCGAACCCAGGGGCCGGGAGGATGCCGGCTCATGTCATCTCTGCTCAAGGCCCAAGGACCCTCAAAATCGGATTCCGCTGTGCTTCCCCGGGTTTGTCTATCTCACATGCTAGAGCAGGAAGTTGGAAAAGGGTCTACTGTATCCCAAGAGACGAAGACATTGCCGTTCCCCAGTAAACAGGTGGAATGAATGGTCCTGGGTTCAGTGTTCTGGATTTCATCGTGGGGGCTGTGAACTAGAAAGCTTTGAAGCCTAGTTTGGAATGCTAATCCTTTATCTGTCGTACATGTCAGGTATCTTCTGGTCTTCAGGTTCTCCTCTTTCTCTCTCTCTGAAAAAGCCAGACACATTCAGAAGTCGTTCTGAGGCCCTGTGTGCTCATCAAGCTGCCTCAACAGCTATAAACACTCCCAAATTGTTTAGTCTACACCCTCCTCACCCCAAACAGGGTTGTTAGTAGGCGGAATCCCAGACATCTTATCAGTTCATCTGTAAATATCTCAGTAGATTTCGCTCAAAGATAGACTCTTCTTAGACATAACACAGTATCTTACCCGCTGTCAAAATGGGCAGTTTCATATCATGATCAAATATTCAGATTTCCCCATTGTTTCAGATTGTCTTGGCTTTTTTTTTTTTTGTCTTGCAGTGTATTTGTGGAAGAAATCGGGCCATTTATGCATTTGTATGTCCGCTGTGTCCTAGCCCATTCCTCCGATAAGTACAGGACAGACGGGCAGGTGGGCCTAGGGCACTGACCGATTCAGGCTCAAACCCCTAGCGTGAGCCCCTCAGAGGCAGGGCCCACCCTTGTTTGGTGTGGCCAACTAATTATTTCATGGGGGTTTGAAGGGGGTGTTGCTTTATTGCCACCCCACCCATCTTCACAAATGAGATTAAATGCATTCACATTCACAACAAGCAACTGTGATCCATTTCTAGGCCCAGTACCTTTGTTTAGAAAAAGGTAGCACAGCTCAGCCGGGCGCAGGGGCTTGCGCCTGTAATCCCACCACGTTGGGAGGCCAAGGCGGGCAGATCGCAAGGTCAAGAGATCGAGACCATCCTAGCCAACGTGGTGAAGCTCCATTCTCTACTAAAAATACAAAAATTAACTGGGTGTGGTGGTGCGCACCTGTGGTCCCAGCTACTCGGGAGGCTGAGGCAGGAGAATCGCTTGAATCCAGGAGGCGGAGGTTGCGGTGAGCCGAGATCGAGCCACGGCACTCCAGCCTGGCAACAGACTGAGACTCTGTCTCAAAAAAAAAAAGGCAGGGGGAGAAGTAAACACGTAAAGGTTACAATTACAAATTGGAAAGGATTTCCACTCAGTGTCCATTGACACGAAATCTTTCAGCCAAGAATTCATGGATGGTCACACTATCACTATTTTGGGACGGAGTCTTGCTCTGTCACCCAGGTGGAGGGCAGTGGCGCAGCCTCCACTCACTGCAACCTCCGCTTCCTGGATTCAAGTGATTCTCCTGCCTCAGCCTCCCTCCCGAGTAGTTATATATATGAGAAATACATATCCTATACTTACATTGTACTATATATGAGAGACTAGAATCATATATGAGACCTGAAGTTTTATTTTTAAATGCACTTAAAATTTCTATTTAAAGGAACTCTCTGGCCAATTACACTGTTTTGCTGATTTGACTTCAAATGCAATAACATTTTATTTTCTGATAGTGATGAAAAATAAATTCATATAAAAATTTGGGGAAGAAAAGTGTGGCTTTGTAATTCATGCAAGTATTGAGATTTATGTACAAAAACTAAATGGTGCAGTGTTCTCAGTTTCTCACGCTGCTTAAAAGTTTTTATCTGATATCTGAGTGTACAGAAAGTGGAAACTTGGGTTTGCAGCTAAATTGCGCTGTAATTTCAGTGCATATTGTCTTTTACATAGGATGCTTTTGAAGCACAGGCCATGATACCACTCGGGAGGACCTGGGAAGTGGTTCCACTTAAACTTTCTGGGTGCAGCATTAGGGAGCTGTATTTCCCTGACACATTCTTAACTTCAGTCTGGATTCAGTGGCTCTTTGAAGTCACATTAAACCCCTGATGGGTACTTGGGGCCTCAGACGAATGTCTTCCAGTGCTGCAGTTATTAATAAAGCCCCTTTGGAGAGTAAGCAGCCCCCGGTGATGGGCAGTTGGATGTGTGACAGAATGACAGGTGATGGCAGAGCTCATGTCTGCGTGGGTGACTCGGGTCTGCGAGCCCACCACAGACATTCGCAGGGCCCGAGGCAAGGGTTCCAGTAGAGACCACCATGTGCCCAAGTACAGGGACACAGATCAAACTCAGAAAGTGCTGCAGGGACATACGGGCTCCTCGTCCCTTGACAAATCCACCTCCCTTTCGTGTTTCTAGCAGGAGGCCAGGCTGGAGCTGCAGCTCTCAGCCTCCCGGGGGCCCTGGCACTGCCTCCCTCCAGCTCCTGCTGGGGGCACCACAGCCTACCCCCCGTGCCCTGCTGCCTGGCTGCTTCTCAGACCTTCTCACCTGGCACTACACCCAGAATGGCTCCTCAGGGGTTCTCCCCAGATGTTCCACACAGCATTTCTGCCTAAGACCCCCTGGGGCTCGTGGCCACAGCAGCTGCCGGCGAGGCCGGTGGGGGACACATGCCACGTGCTCATGTGTCCAGGTGGAAACGGCAGCTCTATTGTTGCAGAAGAAAGGGAGGGTGGGAACTGAGAGACACCAGAGTCTGCCATAGAACCAAGCACCTGCAAACGTCACCCTCACGTGAGGGACCACTGCACCCCATCCCCTACAACCCCAGGGCTGTTCCATGAGGCCCACACTCTACCCGAGAGGTAGCTGTGCCAGTGGGAAGGCGTATGGTCAGGATGGTGCCGGCTGGACTCTCTGGGTGGGCACAGCCAGCTAATGATGCCAGCGAGGTGGCCAGCCCTTACAACCACATTCTCGCGAATCCGAGGCCTCCTCCTTTCCTGGAATCAGTCGTGCGAAACTTCCCCAGAGAAGAAGGTGGCAGACGCAGTCCAAGGCAAGTGTCGTGACCAGAAGGAAGTCACCAAATGACGCCAGACCGGGAGCTGGCACTGTGCTGTCTGGCCAGTGAGTTACTGCGGACTAAGGATGACAGTCGCACGGGTACCAGGACAGATCCACGAGTAACGGCTGTGTACACGGCAGCGAGGCCGATGATGCCGTTCAGGCGCAATCGCCAGAAATACACAAAGACACTTCCCAGAGGTGTTAGGCCAGGCACATACAGGAGCATGCCACAGAAATAATAACCACGCGATGAAAATCGTGGATTCTCCTACAAGCTCCAGGTGGGAAGGGCTGCTGAAGAGGGAACAGATGAAGAGTCACAGTGGCATCTCTCTACGCGGTGCCTCTCTAACGTGGTCCCTGCTGGCAGTGATGTGGCGGGAGGCAGGTGTGCTTCCTGACGGAGAGCTGGCCAGCCAAACCCAGAGGCCCTCCTGCCTCCGTCAAAAGGTGGGAAGAAACTGCGGATATTCCGTATGAG